AATGGATATTCGCTTTGCCCACTGTCTTTGAGTAATGCGACTTGCAAATTCCTAGCATCTCCAGTTTTGATTGTGGGATTCACACATGGATATCACTGAAGCTAATAGACTGATACTGCATTTGTTCTGATGGTGTCGTAGTCACTTCATGCAAATATTTGTAGGTAGTTGTGTGATGAGTGTCACTACTACATTCTTCTATAGTGTCGTTTCATGTTGTAATCTGAAAGTGAACATAATTTATAACTTCATGTTCTATTTGTTTCGAACTTGCGCACTATATTTGTCCTGCTCAATTCTCTCTCTCTCTCTCTCTCTCTCTCTTTGAGAAAGGTAAACTAATAAACGTATTCGATAGTGAGGAGCTATACTTTGTTTTTCTGATTGCTCAAGCCCATGAACTATTCAGATGTGACACTATAATTCATTCAACCTTGATGCAATCTCTAAAACCTCATCAAACATTCCGCAGCAATGCGCGGGGCATCTTCTACTCCCTCCGTCCCATAATATACAAAAACACTCTTATATTATGATACAGTGGAAGTAGTTTTTTGAAAAAACCACCGTAATGGCAAAGGGGGCAAGCACCAGGTGACGGTTGCCGTCGCGTCAGCAGCAGTAGCAAAGCTGAGTTGATTCCCAGTTATTCCCATGCGGGCGAGCACCACGGGGATGTTGTCGTCGCGTCAGCAGCAGTAGCAAAGCTGAATTGATTCCCATACGACGCTGATTCTCATGCACCTTGTTGAGCGTTTTGTGCCGACACTCTCACTCGTGATTCTTTAAGTGCGCCCTCTCCGGCTACGCAGCACACTCTCACTCTATCAGCTTCGTTCTCACTCTCACTCAGCTCTCTTTGGTTAGCTTCTGACTTCTGAGCAAAGAGAGAGAACAGCTAGTTTGACCACGATTTGTACTAATTTCGAAGCTGAATTTGAAGTTGGTGATGTTGAAGAAAAGATAGATCATGGTAAGTTCTATGTTATGTGTTATTTCTATTTATATTTGCTCCGATCGATTAGCCCGGCCGTAAGTGTGTGAGATGGATCAAGGTAAGTTCTATGTTAATTATCTGTTTTAGGCACAACTTGATCATTTTTGTTGAGTCGTTTGGAGCTTTTGGAGTAGGATTTGTCGTGAGGAGTAAACTAAGAAGTTGAATATAAAGGTACAAGCTATGCAATACACGCAAAGTTTTATATGTTGAGGACGGCATTTCGGTGCCTGGGAACATCTACTCCCTAGGATTAACAATAAAATCATAGGAAATAGCAGAAAAGAGAATCCGAAAGTTTTGGCAGCAAAGATGAAGAAGTTTTCTAAGGGCTCGCAACATTTCATGGCAATTGGGCATCGCAGGAGCTCCGGACAAAAAACATCAGGGTAGTGAGAATGGTTCAAAATTTTCGTTTTTGGAGTAATGATATTTTGTTTCTGTCCCGAGCTCAATCACCATGAAATTTTGCATGCACTTAAAAATTTTATTCATCTTTGATGCGTATAAATTTCAGCTTTTTACTATTTTTTTAGTTTTTACTATTCAAGCAGGAGCATCTGTGCTCGTGATCAACTAATTACCATGGTGATCAAAACTTAGACACGTCAATTAGACAAACAAAAATTTAGATGCGTGAATTAGACAATCAAATTAAGTCGGCCTGATAGACTTAGAGCATCTACAGGCACAAACATCAAAACCCGCTCCCCAAATGCCCGCGGATGAGCAATGAAAAAATGTCCTTTGCATCCATGAACCTCAAATTTCGTACCTCAAATCCATACTAGCCATGCAAATTTAGAAAATCTACATACTACATACATATCTAAATTACTCATCGTCGGAGATGTCGACGATCTCCGTGTCGGGTGGCGGGTTGATGGGCATGTGCGGCAGCTCTGGCTCGTCGATCTCCGCCCTCTCCTGCCGGACGAAGCGCCGGTTGGCCTCCATATAGGCCTCGTCATTCTACGAACTATAGAGTATAAACAACTGGCGTCAATTTCTTTCCTGAAAGCATACTTGCTCAACTAGAAATGAAATTGCTAGAAATTATATATCAAAGTACAATTTTAATTGAAAAGAAGTTGTAATACTTTACTTTCATACCGCTGATTTGTTCTAGTCCAACTAATACTACCATCACTTTTCTTTGACCTAAGTTTCACAAACAACACTATATAACATTCTTTTAGACAAAAGCATCAATGCATGCAGATCTTACTGAAATCAAACATATGACGGCATCATTTCATACATGTTACTATAAATAGCCAAGATCAATATTAATCTTCAAAAGGTGATATATTGCAAATTTTACACCAACAATGGCCACTCTGAATGCACATTCCACCAAGATTCGTTATTGAATCCTGTAGTTACTAGCAAAGTTGACCTCGGTAATGTTCCTTGGAGGGCTTGTTATAGAATCCTATAGTTACAAGAAAAATTGACTCGGTAATGTTGCTGGGAGGGCTTGTGCATGTGGCTGCAAGCTTGTAGGTTGATTACCGTGCATCTTGACTTGAAGGCCGCCAGCACAGAATCTCATTGGTAGGTTATGGGTAAAATTAGTTGCCCCAAAAATTGGAAAATTGGAGGGCGGTGACGGAAGTGTACGACTGTACGCGCTGCTGAGGAGCTGGGGGCAGGAGCCAGGCAGTAGATGAAGTCAAGATGCCAGCCACTCCTACGAGGCTACGACCATGCATAGAGGTGCGGGAGGCCACAGCCAGCACCACCCTCACCATAGCTCAGGCCGATAACCACTTCGTAGGTTGGCAATGAGCCGCTTGACGAACTGGTACGTGAACTGCGCACCGCACGCTGCCATTGACAGCGGGTAAGGCACCATCGGATCAGATTTTGAGCACACCTGCTGCAACGTCTTCTCCAGGGCTCATGGATCCGCTCCTCCCTGAAACTCTAGGGTTTCTGAAGGAGAAGAGAGCAGAGGTGGATCGTAGGAGAGAAAGAGGCTGCTGTATGTGTCTCTCGCGACAGGTTTTCCCTCGGTCGAGCGACGGTTGGCGATTGCTAAAACCTTCATTAGGTGCGAAGTCATCGGCTGTTTCAGAGGGTCGATCTGAAATTGACAAACCCATAAGCACTAGCCCCGGCCACCATGTTGAATAATCACGTACCTGTTCAACAAAAGGGGAATGAAAACAACCAAAGGTAAAATAGATAATGGTCAATGAGGCTATTGCAAATAATGGTGTTCAACATATGATTTTAGCAACATACCAGCTATTTTCATCTAATATTTGAAGTAAAGGGTTCTAATAGTGCCTTGCAGCAAAACCAATTTGAGTTTATATTTTAACTATTTATAATAAGAGTACAACACATGCAGGGGTATCATCTTGGGCAAAGAAGACAAATGACCTGACAAGAGCAGGGTACAAACTTCACTACAACACTTCTATCCTATTCTTATAACAATGTTCCACACACCCTTGAATACATTAACCTGATTATCCAAATCATATTTTTAGCAAATTAGAGTAGAAGGCAACAGCAGGTATGTTATGACACAATTTGCCTCTAGCACATCTACAGTCTAACTAATAAATGAAAATACATTACATTATAATGCAAATAATGTATGAAAAAATAAATGCAGGCAAGCTAGGACGAAGCGAAGTTGATCTACAAACAAAACAAAAAAATAGAAGCGTCCAAAGTTATTAACCATGATAGGTAACCAGTCGGATATTCATGTCCAATAAGACAATCTACACCATCGAATGGAAGGTACTGGCTTGCATTCTAGTATATTATTCGGTATTCATTAACAGGAAAATAGCTCATTACATGTACCTATAAAAATAATTGATCATGAAATAAATATATTACAGGCCATTCACATGCGTATATACATCCACTGATGTTGTAGCTTGCCAAACAAGGAAAAAGGTAATCACATAATTATGATATCTTCAAATTACTTTTAGTGTGTGTTAGGAGCTAAGGGTTTTGGGTTGCCTCGGGCGTAGGCTATAGGGGGAGGAGGGAGTTGGGCGAGGGCTGGAGCGCGGCGGACGGCGGCGAGGCGCCGTCCTTGCGGTTGGGGCGGCGGCGGCGCAAGAAGGAGGCGGCTAGGGTTAGGGTTCCGGCTCCTCTAGGAGCCGGGCAATAGAATAGTCTTATTGCTTAATTCTCGAAATAGTCTTACAACTTGTATATATAACCATAATCTGAAAATAAAACTAAGATAACTTGTGGCCTAAGCCTGCCCAGTGGGCCCCCTGCGGCCATAGACCTGGCCGGTCATAACAGTGTGCTATGCAGATAAATTTTAACTCCTTCTATTTTCAGGGAATAACGAATGATCATGCTACAACTACAATAATCAAAGAACAAGAAAGGTGCTCACTTTAACAACATCATCATGGCTGTTAGTCTCTGCCTGATATAATGGACTAACAACTACCAAATATATTTTGTTGTAGCATTTCATTGGGTCCAAATAAACAAAAACCAATGAAGAAGAAACAGATGGTCCATGGAAATCAAAGCAACAAGCGTGCAAGGTTGGTTCAGAGAAAACAAAATGGTGACATTGAGTTTGCTTCGAGTACAACAGTTGACGAACACGCTTTAGAAGCATCAAATTTTGCTAGAGGCTCAACAGATACCGATTTGACTAGAAGAAAAGAAATAAGTAGGTTGAATCGAGCAAATAGGAAATTACAATTGATTAAAAAAAAGAGGTAAATCTCAGAGCTCTCCAAGTGAAGTTTCAAATTTCGGAAAACCAACATGCTTATGTCCATTCTGCAATGCTATAATGTGGCATCAAGAGAGAAGCAAGAATAACACAAACATATCAAGACCAACATTCGGACTTTGTTGCAAGGAAGGCAAAGTCAAATTGCCACCATTGAAAAAACCTCCAGCATACCTTCAGCAGCTACTAATGTCTAATGAAAAGGGAGAATCCTCAAATTACAGAGACAATATCAGGAACTATAATTCAACATTTGCATTTACTTCGATGGCTGGCCAGGTCGACTACGAGATAAACAAAAGAGGGGGTGCACCGTATGTTTTTCGCTTGAATGGCCAAAACTATCATCAAATTGGCACATTGCTACCTAAAGATAGTGGAGATAATGGTTGCACGCCAAAGTTTGCTCAATTGTACATTTATGATACAGAAAATGAGGTCAAAAACAGAATGCAGGCTTCAACCTCAAAGGAAAGGAAAACACAACTAGATGAAGGCATCGTGTCTAGATTATTGGAGATGCTTGATGAGAACAACGAGTTAGTGAAATCATTCCGTATGGCAAGGGATAGATACCAAGAGTCAGATCTCGAAAATGTTAGGTTGCGATTAATTGGTAAAAGGTCCAGCGATGGAAGACAATACAACCTACCAACTGCATCTGAAATAGCTGCACTCATTGTTGGGGAACAAACAGGAGAAAATGTTGGCCGGGATATAATAGTAGAAAATAAAGACAAACAACTCCAGAGAATTTCAGAACTACATCCAAGCTTTATGTCTATGCAATACCCATTATTATTCCCGTACGGAGAAGACGGATTCAGACCAGAAATAAAATTAGAAAAAACAAAGGGTGGCGAAGGAAAGAGAAAGCATGTTACCATGATGCAGTATTATGCATATCGCATCCAGCAACGAGTGAACCAGTCAGTAGTCTTGCAAACGAGTGGCAAGTTGTTCCTTCAGTTCATTGTTGATGCAGCAACATGCATTGAGCAATGGAGGCTGAATTGGTACAGGATGCATCAAGGGACACTTAGAACAGAGCTATATAGCGGTTTGCAAGACGCAATTGATAATGGTGATACGAGAACTGATCAAGTAGGTAAAAGAATTATACTACCTTCATCATATAATGGAAGTCCTAGGAATAAACAGCAGTATTACCACGACGCAATGGCGATATGTCGGTGGGCTGGATATCCAGATCTGTTTATCACTTTCACATGCAACCCAAAGTGGCCAGAAATACAGACCATGTTGGACTTCATACCAGGCCAAAAACCAGAAGATCGTCCAGACATTATCAATAGAGTGTTCCTTATAAAGCTCAATGAACTGATAGAAGACATATACAAAAATAAGCGGTTTGGAAAAGCAATAGCAAGTGAGTAAACCCAGTTTCAGCCAATTCCTACCTATCATCACAACTAAGTTAATTATGGACATTATCTTCATATTTTGCCTCATTGTTTGAATATTAGAACACATTGTAAATTACTACCAAACTTAAAATGTAACTAATGAAATTATAATGCTTTGTTGTAGTTGTCCACACTATCGAGTTCCAGAAAAGAGGCCTACCTCATGCACATATACTACTATTTCTAGATCTAGGCGACAAGGATCCTAGCCCCCAAAATATTGACCAGATCATATCAGCAGAGGTACCAGACAAGGACGCTGACCCAGAAGGTTACATGGCAGTTGAAAATTTCATGATGCACGGGCCATGTGGACAACCGCACTACAAGTCATCGTGCATGATCAATGGGAAGTGCTCAAAACATTTCCCTAAGATGTTCTGTGAGGAAACAAGCATTGATGAAGAAGGATTCCCAATATACAGAAGAAGAAATGATGGAAGGACGGTAGAAAAAAATGGAGTACAGCTAGATAGCAGGTATATTGTTCCATACAACAGGGACCTGATAGTCAAGTACCAGGCCCACATAAACGGGGAATGGTGTAATAAATCAAGATCCATAAAGTATGCGTTCAAGTACACCCACAAAGGAGAGGATAGAGCAACTGTAGTTTTGGGAACTGGAAACAACTACGATGAGATACAAATGTACCTTGATGCACGATACCTATCTGCAGGTGAAGCATCTTGGCGTATATTTGGATTTGAACTTCAGCATCGGCAGCCTTCTGTACAGAGACTGCAATTCCACCTTCAAGATGAACAAATGGTTGTGTTCCCGGACTCAACTGATATTGAGCAAATCGTACATAGAACTGGCATCGAAAAAACAATTTTCACTGAATGGATGACCGCTAATCAATTGTATGAGGAGGCCCGTGATCTGACATGTGCAGAATTCCCCACTAAGTGGACGTGGCATGCAAAGAAGAAAAAATGGAAACCAAGGAAAGGCAGGAAACAATCTATTGGGAGGATCTACTATGCCCATCCAGCAAGTGGTGAGAAATATTACCTAAGAATACTACTAAACTCTGTCAAAGGTTGTAAATCATTTGAGGACATCAGAAAAGTAAATGGTATTATACACCCGACCTACAGATCAGAAAAGTAAATGATGACAAAGAATGGGATGATTTTATTAAGGAAGCATCAATTTGGGCTTCTGCACAACAAATGCGCCAACTTTTCTGCACAATACTCCTTTTTGGCGAGGTCACATATCCAGGAAAACTATGGAAATCTACATGGGAATTACTCTCGGATGACGTACAACGACATCAGAGGAGAATCTTGAACTTCGATGAACTTCAGCTTCATCCTGAACAAATGCAAAACCTCGCACTTATAGAGATAGAGATGTTGCTAAGGAGAGGTGGAAAGTCATTAAAAGATTATGAAGAAATTCCATTACCAGATAGCAACTCACTACAAGGTCTAGAAAATAGGTTGGTAAGTGAAGAGCTTAACTATGACAGAGATTTTCTCCAAATAGAGAAAGTGGCATTACTTAGAAAGTTGAATCCAGAACAAAGACAAGCTTTTGATGCAACACTACAATCTGTAAATAGCAAACTAGGCAAATTGATATTTGTCAATGGATATGGTGGGACAGGAAAAACATTTCTTTGGAAGGCAATCACGACATCACTACGATCTGAAGGAAAAATAGTTTTAGCAGTGGCATCCAGTGCAATAGCAGCGCTTCTTATACCTGGGGGAAGAACTGCACATTCAAGATTTCGCATCCCACTCAACATCATTAATGAGTCCACATGTGACATCAAGCAAGGATCTTGTCTTGCAGACCTGCTAAAGAAAACATCATTAATTATATGGGACGAAGCACCAATGGCGAACAGACATTGCTTCGAAGCATTGGACAAGAGCTTGAGAGACATTCTAAGGTTCACAAACGAAAATAGTACAGATAAACCATTTGGAGGGATGACAGTAGTGATGGGAGGTGACTTCAGACAAATCCTGCCGGTAATACCGAAAGGGCGAAGATCTCACATTGTTGATGCATCCTTAAAACGTTCCTACTTATGGAAACACTTTGAGGAATTCAAGCTCACTCAGAACATGCGTGTTTCTGCACTAACAGATACTCCAGAAGAACAAAAAAAGACCACAGATTTTGCAGGCTGGATTCTAAATATTGGAGATGGATTAGTTGGAAATAAAGAAGAAGAAGCATGGGTACATATACCTGAAGACTTGCTTCTGCAAAAAGGAGAGAACCAATTTGAAACGATCATCAACAACACCTATCCAAACCTATGGACGAACTACACCAACCGAACATACTTACAAGAGAGAGCCATCTTATGTCCAAGAAATGACATGGTTGATGAGGTAAATTCTTACATCATGGGTAGAATAGAAGGTGAAGAGGTAACATATCGAAGCTCAGATACAGTGTGCAAAGCAATGTCAAATTCGGAAGATGTAGATCATTTGTACCCAACAGAATTCCTGAATAGCTTGAAGTGCCCTGGAATATCAGACCACATACTACGGCTGAAAGTAGGCCTGCCAATTATGCTGCTACGGAATATCAACCAAAGCGAGGGCTTATGCAATGGTACGAGACTAACTATAACACAGCTAGGCAAATGGTTCATAGAAGCTCAAATAATAACAGGGACAAACATTGGAAACAAGGTACATATTCCAAGGATAATTATGTCACCAAGTGACTCAAAATGGCCGTTTGTGTTGAAAAGGAGGCAGTACCCAATATCAGTTTGTTTTGCAATGACGATAAATAAGAGTCAAGGGCAGTCGCTAAAACATGTGGGCCTATATTTACCGAAGCAGGTGTTCACTCATGGCCAACTCTATGTAGCCGTATCAAGAGTCACAAGTAGAGATGGACTTAAAGTTCTAATTTCAGATGAAGAATCTAAGGAAAATAATTCGGCAAAAAATATTGTGTACAAGGAGATCCTTTAGTGCAAGAGATCTTAGAATATTTTTATTTTACTCTATGTAACGTTCTTAAACAGGAATTTCGTATGGTTTTCCGATGAATCAGATATTTCCGCAGACACACATGGCTATGTTTGAAAATTTGATCTAGCACTAAAACAATATGTAGTCTGTGCATTTGCATAATCAGAATTTAAAAAAGTAAGAACCATGAATGTGTGCCTTTGGTTTACTTAGTATCTGCAAATTGAAAACTAGGAGGTCCGAAAACTGAAGTGTACAAATAATCTTCTACCTCCGAATTTAACAAAATAAAAATTTAAAAACAATACGTGGCGCAGCCGCCGACTATATCGAGGACAACACACAGAATAAGCTGATGCGGATGACCTACCGATTCAGCTCTGACAATCTCCTTACGACTCCTCTACCACCGTCTCTACACAACACCTACATCACCTCACTGCACATCCACATACAGACCCAAAAGGGAAATAAGACATCCCCTCCAAGCAAGTTTCCGATTCTTAAGATAATACATACAGAAAATCTAATGATTTAGCCACACATGATGTATCCCATAGTGGTTGCTTCTCTCTAACTTCCAGGTTGTCTACCAAGGTCAGATTTGGTGCTGACAAATTGAAGGACTAGAAGGTACAATCAAAAGGGGGAACAGAATGTATGGCTAGCGGTTGGATCAGGGATTTCCTTTTGGGGGACCGGCGAGTGGAGAGAGGGAGAGCCGTCGGCGGTGGCACAGAGGAGTGGAACTAGCGGCGACTCGGCATAGCCCCGCAGCGGATTCCTGGATCAATCTTTGCCATGGATGTGGACGTCCATTTTTGGGAGATGAGGGAAGAAAGTATAGCACACAACATGTTCCTGTTATTTATTTCTTTATTTATTGGGCACATGGATCTCAGGATAGCAGGCAACAGTACGCTACTATTATTTTTTCTTCACCGCACATGTGAGCCCCAAAAATACATATGTAATTTCCATACAGATAAGTAATAGGGTATGGATACCATAAGCCTGTGCATATACACGCTACACACATATACACGATGAAGAGTGAACGACTAAGAAAACAAACATGAATAGAACTTCAATAAAACTATACTACTATTGGCTATTGCAAACTGATGTCACATAATTATTTGGTTAAACATCAGTAAAATGAACGCCCACTAGTTTTGTTGATTTCATTTATTCTAAATAGCTGTGATGTTAAATATGAGAAATAAATATGTTATTTACATGCCATTCGAAAAAAATGATATTTATGTGCATATTTAATTATAAATCATAATAACTTATTCCTTATGACATTTCTTACGCATATAAATTTTCTCATTCAATAAATATTAAATTGTGCTAGCCCGTGCATTTATGCGGCTCGATTTTGATAGATTTATTCATTGCACAGAATGCTTTGCCATCTGATAATTTGGTTTAGTCATTTGAACTTGTTTCTTGTTGTCACCGTTGTAATGAATGAAAAATATCTCACTTCATCCTTCTATTTAGAGTATATGGATGATAGGTTTTCGACTTGCCATATATTTATATTCATTTTGAATTTTTATTCATTCGAACTTCCTTTTGGTTTATTGTATATTCTACATAATTACATATATGACATATTCATAACATCATTTTACTTCATGTGATTTTAGTTATTTCACGTTTTACATGTATTCCCTCAACTATTATTTTTTCTCACTTATTTGTCAACTGTATGATTTATATTTTTGTTAGAAAATGAGGTTAATAATAATATTTAACTTGCCATTGATCTGCCTTTTGACTTCTTTTTATGTGTCTTCAACATCTCTGTAGCTAATGTTTGTCCATTGGTTATATGTTGTTTTATTTTGACATCCTTCATTTTGCAGTGTGGTCAGCCATCCTTCCTTTGGTCACCTATCTTTTTCTCGCTTGTAGGTTAGTACGTGTTTTACGTCCATAGCCATATGAAAATCTGACCAGTTTGCATAGCTGACATATCAAGATTACACAGGCCAATTGGTTTTGATAACTACCTGTGTCTTTTCTCTAAAGTAAAAACAACCAGGCTCCTCATCTACATACGCCATTTCTTAAGATTTGTTGCCAGCGAAGGAAGGTGTTGATGGTGACCATCAGGAAACAAATTCCCAGGCAATCCCAGCCCTACTTGTTGCTCCTTTTCTAGTACTAATTTGTCTTCCTTGGGTGGTGGCGCGGGTGGCCGGGTGAGTGACTGGACGCACTCTCCAGGTATCCGATCCTAATTGATCTCATCGAGTCTGGCCGCGTGGCCACAAGGGGGAACGCGGTGCACTGCTCGCCCTCGTCATCGCCGGTGGTTAGAGGAGCCATAATTTAAGAAGACCCCGAGCCAATTTTCTTTGGCAACATGGAAAATCTTTCACACTTACTACCCAAAATAACCATGTAAATTTCAAAAAAAAAAACTTTAGCACTTATAAATACCTAGAATTTCATTTTTCAACTAAATTTCAGTTCAACAGTACATGTAAAACTTACACAAACACACAGTTTTTTGTTTTTTCAATTGAATTTCCGCACAATGCGGTCCTAGTTCAGTGTTAAATACAATCCCAAAAAAAGTTCAGTGTTAAATACTCCTTCAGTTATTCAGTATATATGCACTACACAGACAGTATCGGTCAGAAAATTACCCAGCAGCCGGTAGAACCGCAGGAGCACGGAGGCCTCGTCCCGGAGCGGACGACGCTCGGGGCGCAGTTGAGGTTGAGCTCGCCGCTCGCCCGCAGGACGGTGGAGGCCGGGAGCTCGGCCTCGGCGGACGACGGCGGACTGGCGGCAGCACGAGATGGCAGCGCCAGCGCGGGACGGAAGCGCGGGGGATGGGGGGAGGCCGGCCGGGAGCACGGCCAGGAGTGAGCGCGGCAATGGCGGAGGGCGTCCGCGCGGGAAGGCAGCGCGGCGGCTGCGTCTGATCGTGTGGGTGCGTGCGTGCTAGGGCAGTGCGCTCGTGTGCTGCTCGGGGATTGGAAGGGCATTCCGGGAGTGGGCTGGGTGCCTGGCTGGGCTGAACTCTGGGCCCATGTACAAATCTATATACACGTAAGAGCCTTGAATAACTCCACGCCCCGGGACGGCTCCTATTTGGCGCTTCACGCGTCTGTTATAGGTCATTTTGCAAACTGGCGTCTAAAGCGCACACCCACTTCTACAAGGTTGGCCGACCCATTAGTGGCCTTCAAAAAAAAATAGTTTGTGCGCGGCAGATCGAACTCGAGACCTGTAAGTTCACAGCGCGTCATGCTAATCACTAGGGACATCGCACACTTGTGCTTAGTAACTTCTTCTGTTTTTTATTCTTTCTCCAGTTTGCATTTTTTCCATTTTTCTTTTTTTGTTATCTATTTACTTATTTTTAATTAATGTGTGATTTTTAGTCAATGAACTTTTTCTTCAAAATCTATGAACTTTTTTCCAGGTTGATAAACTTCTTTTTCTATTTTTCTAACTCTTTCAAACATTTGAATGAACTTTTTCTAAATTTGTGAACTTTTTCCAGAATTGATGAACCTTTTTCAAATTTGATGATTTAAAAAAACGATGAACTTTTTTTATTTTGATGATTTTCTAAAAATCAATGAATTTTTTCAAACAAAATCATTTTTTTATTAAAAACTATGAACTTTTTAAAAATTTGTGAACTTTTCTTAAATTTGTAAAAAAATCATAAACTTTTCAAATCTATGAACTTTTTTCAAATGAATGAACTTTTTCTCAAATTAGTGAACTTTTTTCAATTTTCATGAACTTTTTTGAGTATGTGGACCTTTTCTTCTTGAAACAAATTCGCAAACTTTCTTTTAATGTTCGTGACCTTTCTTTTGA